AAAATGTTCTTGGGAAGAATACCCCCATGCCCCCTACTATTACATACGACACCCCACCAAACTTTTTGTCATCAACAACCTCTTCACACTCGATGATACCCCACCGCCTGGTGTGTTTGTGTGTGTGGGGGGATATCGCCCAAGGTCACGTAACTTTCGCCAGGGAGTACAAAATGGGCCAAAAAAGCGTCACGTATTTTCTGTACCGTCTGTGAACATTTCAACAACTAGTTCGTGACTGAATGCACTATTGAAGAGTAATTATAGAGTTAGAGAAAAGGCAGAACTCATGCCAAATCATTGATCTCATATACATCCTATGCTTAAATGTATAATTGTTTCCGGACCAATTTTCATTCTTTACAGTCCAAGTATTGTGTTAAGATTATAAAACTTTTTATAAGGAGGTGCTGATCCCATGCATGACCACAAAGCAATGTTTATACTTTTGCAAGTCACTATCACAGCAAGCTGTGTCACGATTTTAACAAGCTTAATTAAGATCTAACATGAAGTACGTTTATTATAGTCACAAAAGAAAACATAATAAAAAATATATACGTGTCCGCCCGGATATCTAATGTGAACACGTTCTATGATAATTGCATTTCTGAAACAAACGTGAACAGTGTTTATGCCATTCGCCCTTTAGTTTAGAACCATGATTTCTATAATATTTTTCTGTGTTGGTTGTTGTGTACTCAGGTGAATATGATGTTTGTGATGTTACTCTGAGTGTATATCCACACCGCGGGCGAGCTTGAAAAATATGCCCGGCCACGGTGGGAATCGCGCGAACCTACGACCTTTGGAATATTAGCCGAATGCTCTGCCAACTCAGCTACGCGGTCAGGTCGGTTCGAGTAAGTGATATTTCGGAACAGAATCTAGTTCCTTCGATACCAATGTAATCTATAGTAATATGAATATGAAAAAATCATATTACTAGATTACATTGGTATCGAAGGAACTAGATTCTGTTCCAAAATATCACTCACTCGAACCGACCTGATCGCGTAGCTCAGTTGGCAGAGCATTGGGCTAGTATTCCAGGCAAAGGTCGTAGGTTCGATTCCCACCGTGGCCGGGTATATTTTTCAAGCTCGCCCGGTGTGGATATACACTCAGAGTAACATCACAAACATTATGATTTCTATAGTGACTTCATTTTCACGATCAACCAGTCATAAAGCCTATATTCATATAGATAGAGGGGCAGATTATACTTTAAAATGTCTAGCACCCCTCCCCCTCCCTTCTCGACATAAATTGTGGGTTTAAGTTATTAAAGCTTACGACGGGAAAATCTTTGGTCAGTACATATTGGTCGTGCAATTCCCACCAATATTGCCTTGCATGGGGGCCGGCGCAAATTTTTGTCCGGCCACCAATTTTTCCCCCTCATATGACATGGGTACCGACCAAAGCAAAAGCGAAGCATATCTAACGTTTACAAGATATAGATAGCTCTAGTTCGATAGAGTCAGTTTTATCAAAACTGCTTTCGTTGCAAGTCTCGTAACTGCCTACTGCACACGAGAGAAAATTGCCGAGGAAACCGTCTCGCGTGGCGGCTGGTTCAACTATTCATTTTCATCGCACACGAACTATTCAACAGGAACATCATTGATATATTAAGATCGTTTGCATCCTCCCCCCATTGTCGCCATTTTAACCAAAGTCACGTGAAGAAACTACGTGTTCTCATTGGCTGACTAGCAGCTCAGCACTAAGCTTGCGGCATCCGCTGAGATTTTTTCCTCGCAATTAAGGTGAAAAATAGCAAATACGATAGATATATTCCTCATGGCCTCGAGACGTTAAACCCTCACAAAAACTAGAGAGAAACATGCTGATCAGCGAGGCGGTTAGCTGAGCTAGTTCTCTCGTGTGCGGGCAGGTTTTAGCCTTTAGGAGTCCCTATCACTATACAGTAGGCCTAATTCAGTCTAATATGACCGAAAATGACAGGTAATTATGCAACTTTAACCTAGTTTACAAAGCCAAACAGAGCTTTTGAAAGCAGAGTGTTGTGTTTTAACTGTCAATGGAATACACCAGCAGATGAACTTCACTTAAGTATTATTTAACCATAACTATATTAATACATCGCTAAGCATTAGTGATTGTCTAAAAAATTAACCCTCAAACCTTTAAACAGTTTTCCTAAATGTGTCATCGTAGCTTGTCATATCCAATATCGCGTTGACAGTGTTGTTATTGAAACATGAATGCTGACATTGTATATTGTATGTACAATCCTGGCAAAAACAAATAAAACATCCAGTATGATTAATAATTTAATTAATCAGTATTCTCCCCTACTATGTTGATTAAGACGAGTAAGAAACCTACACATATATAGTGCTCTCTGTCATCGATGAACTATTGAACACAATATTTTTTAGACTCTATATGACCAACATTGTTCAGGGAGGGAGGGAAGGAGATTTTGTCTATTTTATTGATTTTTTATAGTGTAGGTAGTACATGTAGCTGTGGCCTATATGCTTATAGTTAATATTTGTTAATTTACGTAATTCCGTAATTACGTTTTATTTTGACCACATTAGTTGGTTAACCGCTGTTGAGGACACTCTGCCATGCAGATAAATTAATATATATGTTCCGTAATGACTTATTATTGACGAAGCTAATAAATAAAAAGAAAACGACAAAAAAACCTCAGGGATGTTCTTTAAATTAAGTTTGCAGTTCAAAGTAAGATTTGTGCAAAAAAATAATGGCTAGAAATGAGGAAGCGGGAAAATGTGGGCTGGAACTGAATTGGATCTAGACTGGACATCCGTTTGCGTAGGCTTTATTCATAAGACATAACTTATGTCTCATGAGAGTGATTGTCTCATTTGGGGGTCGCAATTTTTAGTGCAGATTAGACATCATTTAAATGCATGAACTGTAATAATATCACATTAATATATTGGCATTGCAGACGTGTGTCATTTTCTTTCGCTGTTCACTTTCAAATCAGACTTTAATTACCAGCGCAATTTCGGTTACAGAGCCATTCATGTTATTGTTATCTATAAATTTTGGCAATGGCCTGGACCGTTTTTTATACCTAAGTCCTATAACCCTTAAGAAATGAAAAATTAAAGAAATTATAATGAGATATTTCGGCAGAATAAATCACAGTGGGCCATGCTCAAAATGTTTCCGTGCGACAACTTTTTAATTAACACGGGCGGATAGTCTATATGAGATCATTCAATGTCGAAAAATTCAACTGTTGCAGTAAAAAATAGACGTTTGTAACATGACCTTTACTGCTGTGAAAGCTTCGAAAACAAGGCGAATTTCGACATTTCGAGCGACGTCTCGAAGTTCTCTTATTTTTCAGGCAGTTGCAATTTGACCGACGTCGACGACGTCTTTGAAAAACCCACGTATGTTTTCCAAATTGGACGAGAAACCATGCTTATTAATGATATGTATGAAAAAATTGCAATCTTCGATAACACCTGTGTAGTCAGTTACCTGCGCTGTTTATAAGCATTGTTTTCAATGCTTGTTAGCAAAGATTTTTCAGTCTGTGTGCTCTTTGTATTTAAGTTGCTAAATTTTTATTAAAAGTGTACAAAAAGCGTCGAAAATTTACATTGCTAATATCCGTGCCGCCATGTTGATTTTTCTGCCTCATTCCCAGGCTCTGCTCGTGCTTTGCTAATTTGCACTACATAAATTACAGTGTAAATTTTCCAATGAAATTACACTGCTGTTAGAACTCTCTATCCTATTCCTTGCTTTTCCTGCATCTTTTTGCCCAGCTTACGTTTAAAATTTGCTCAACTGCTATTTTTATGAGGGGAAGGGGGCAGCTGTCTCGCATTTTTGCTAACAAGTTTTTTGTATCCGAATAAATAAACTCCCTCATCAGATAAATGTGTGTGGGTGTTTAGAATCTATATTTCTTTTTATCACGATGCCTATATCGTCGTCAAAACACTGCAGTAAAAAAAACCCAAACAAAATAAATAAAATTTGGATTCAAAATGTCATCTTGAGCATTCAGTATGAATTTAAAACAAAATGTGTTTGACTATGAGAATGACTATGAGACTGTCTCAAAAACTTAATCGTCTTGTTTAATTCGTATTTTCAAATTTGAAGATGGAAGATTTCCTTCAACTGAACTGGGTTTCTTTATATATTTTTAGGTGTCGTTGTTTGGACGAGTTATGAATTTTATTTTTATACACAAAATTTCATATTTTTATACACAAAAATTCATACACTTTTGATTTTGTCAACATTTTGTACTATTTAGTCATATCTTAGTACTACAGCTGGACAACAAGCTATCACAAATCTGCGAAATTTGGTGGCGAACTACAACTACAAGTGCAAGTTAGTTAGCAACTAATTTATCAACACAGTCACAGAGTCAGAAGATATAAAACCTTTGTCTTTGACAACTTGTCACAAGCTTATCAGAAACCACTCAAGTCTTGGTGCAGATTTTTTCGGGATAACATTTAGAACATTCTTATGATTCTTAGAGTGTGATTGGAATTCTGTTGCAAATTTCACAAGCAGGGAAATTTGAATCCTCTTCGAAAGCCGCCTTTCTGTATGTTTTCAAAGACGGTAACAAAATTGTGACAAATTAATAATAATCGTTAATATATTACTCTTTATGTTTTTGAAAAAAAGATTACCTGTAGCCTTTCGCATTCGGAAATTGCAGCACTCGGAAGAGCCTTTTCACTTTTAATGTTTATTCAAATTATTGTTTCAAAATAATGTCCTAATAAGCGAAAGGCTAATAGCGAGAAAAACACACAAAGGAAGTGATTTAATAGCGCTCATGTAGGTTTAACGAGAAAAGTTTCTCAAATGAGGTGACATAATTGATCTTTCATCGGCTACGAGCCTGGTCTAGTGCCAGCCTGATAGTTTCCGTTATCTGAATGGCGGATCAGTGTGTGACGTAGACAGAAATAAAGTGCTCATATAAGAAGCGACAACATTTTGTTTTGCTGCACAAGTGTTTATATCGTGCAGCCTTGCACGCGAAAGGTTGAGTAAAGAAAAACAACTTTGATATTCACAGCGGTTTGTAAAAAGTTCAACAAACAACGAGAATTATTAATTGAGGAAAAAAGGGCAAATTCTAAAACCGAATTTAATATACAAGATCGCAGGTGGCCGGTCTCAAAAGCAATTGATATTCAAAATTTCATGATGTCAACGCGTGTTGAATCAAATATAGCAGAAAAGCAACACGAAGCTCGTCACAAAAAAGTGAAACGTGTCCGAAGCTCGCCCATTGATCTTTTGGTATGGGAATACGCAAATTCGTTGGACCGAACGAAGACGTTCGAAAAACTCAAGGAGGCTACCGAACATTTCGACATAGACGAACTTAATGCGTCTGGGTTGAACGCGTTGCAACAATGCGCGCTGGATGGCAACCTAGAGGGATTGAAATTGCTCCTCTCGCTCGGCGCTGACTGCAATAAGCGAGGACGAGGTGGATGGACTGCCCTACACTACGCCGCGAGCGAAGGATATTTGGAGATTGTCAGATACTTAATGAGAAATGGCGCCAATGTGAGGATTGCCGATCACAATCATAAATTTCCCGTCGAAATTACCGAAGACGAAAGTATATTAAAACTTTTACTACGCGCCACAATCGTTTCCAAAGGGACGCTGTTGGCAGGCTCGAACGAAAGACGGACAAGGTACCTGCATAAAGAATCTGTATAATATATTTGTAATTCTACGATGACCTGCTTTGCCCACGCACAGAGGCTTGACTCAGTTGTTTCACCAGACGGACGACCGACGACAGACGTGCCCGCAGAAAGAGTCGGTGTAAAATATTGCTGCATGTATTATGTATAGGCCCTGTGCAATTTTTCTACAATAATTCGAACTGCGATAAACTAAGAACTAATAACTTGTAGTATAGATTGAAACCAAGGAATTTCTATTTAACACAATAAATATATGCAAGCTTGAAGCTGTGCAATTAACGAAGAATGTCTATATTGAGTATTGTTTGTCGACCGAAGGACGGCAAGGTTTGTCTGCACAAAGAGTTTCTGCAAAACGAAGTTTTAATTTTAAGAAACGCGATTAAATCGTTACTTATATTTGGAAAGTGTAAAACAGGGTTTGTAGTTTTTAAGGCACATGCACGATCAATCGCAAGTAATTCGATCGTATTTGCATTTGGGGATATATCGCGCAAGTTTTAAAATTTTGTTTGCGTCCAGCCCCATGTTGCTGCATTGAATTAAAACCAAACGTCAATTTAAATATAAAACTTATTACTTCAAAAAGTCAGGTGAATATAGATATTTTGAAAATGTATCGAGTCGTAGCGGGTCATTCAAAAATTCAAAGCAGCCCAACAGCCAATATCAATGCAGACGAGCGGCTGGAAACAGATGTTGTGGGTGGTTAGAATCACTTCAATCGTTGATGTAGTCATTTGAAATCTTCCCCAAAACGGAGAAAATATGTATTTCGGAGATTCTAAATTTCAAAATCTGATCTCTGCACGTGCAGGTTAAAAACAGTCGAGTATAGTCAACATATCTGACATATATGTTATTGCGAGGGTGGAGACGTTTGCGTATAATCCGCGTATGTATGAAGGTTATTTTGAGGCAATAAGGGACTGGTCATAAAATAACGTCTAGGGTGGGCTGGAGGTAAATCACAAATTTTGCCAACAAGTTTGGTGACCCATCTTAGGATTTAGATAAAAATTTCAAAGCCCATCTATCTTACAAAAAAATTGTCATGACCCACCCAATCTAAATTGGGAAAATACACTTTTATAATAAAAAAACTTGCAGGTATGAACATTGTAAATATATACCGGCACTGTATTGACATACATAATTCCACCAAGCTTGACCAACACATTCATCACAAATTACGATACTGAGCTGCTCTCCAGTTGGTTGTATTTGCTGTGATTCGACCATTTCTTGTTGTTGTATAAAACAAAGTACTGGCTTCAATAATAGCATCATTTGCATTTGATAATTTGGATAGTTTTGTTTACTTTTATTATTAATATCTTTATTTTTTGAAGGAGACATGTACGGGTTTTTGTTTGGTGGCCCAACCGTGGTCATATAAAAAAATTGGCGGCCCATCGAAACTGCCCAAAGATTTTCCATGGCCCATCCCAAATCACTCCAGCCCACCCTAGCAGTTACTTTATGACCGGTCCCTTAAGGCCGGATTCCACGAGGCGGAATTTTTCGACCGAAACGAAATTTCTCTTTGTCTTTTTACAATTAGTTCTGCTTGAGAGCTCATGAAACAAAGAGAAATTTCGATTCGGTCGAAAAATTTCGCCTAGTGGAAAACCGCCTTAAGGGGTATGTGATTTATTCGCGCCGAGGTGAATAAACACATATCCCCGAGGTGCCTCAAGATAGCGTACTTATTTTTCACATCGGCGAGGTTGCATTTTAGGAGACATAATAGAAAGAAATTCGTTATGAAAGCCATTTAATAAAACGAGTCCCAAATACTGATCACTTCTGTTCAAAAAGGAAAAAGAGAAAGAATGATGAATATAGAGGGGAATATTACCTCGAATATTACAGGGTATTATTAATCTATTGCTTTGGGTATTGTTTTCAGCCTCGCTCTCCCATGTTGAAATCAAAAGCCGCCCCCAGCTTTTCGCATACTTAACTGGCAGGGGATGTATTTTCTCTAAAGAACAAAGGATACCGAGTAATGTGAAAAATAAGCACTGTTAACCAAAGATTAGTAAATCATGCGCGTGTACATAGCTAGCCATATAGGCTAATTCAGACCAAGATAATGACTCGGCAAAACTATACATCACACCTCCCCCTCCCATCGAAGGAGGCCTAACGCCTAAACACTGGGTTAACAAACCCACATTAAATCGTAACTTATTCGGGCTTACGAACTGACAGTGATTGAATTAATGAAAGTATTAAAATCTGTCAACGAATGTAATTCCTTATACGTTGCTCATTGCTAGCTTATAGCTTTGCGTTGATGATCTGATTATATTTTTTTCACTTCGTGCGTTTCATTTGCGTCAGGAAAAGAATGAGGTCCTTTGTTTGAAATTTCCTCATTTTTTGTACGATACATGCGAAATTAAAATATTTTAAATTGGTATCTGATTAAAAAGCCCGAGGATAAAGTGATAAAATCTAATAGCTGAAACGTGGAATTTAAAGCTTTGATTTTAATAACAGATAAACTCCTTTTTTTACAAATTTTCATTGAATGTTGCATGTGTATACTTGCTGTACAACTTTTTTACAAATTTTCATGGAATACGGTTATATTTTTCTCGAAAAACCGAACGAAACTACTTCAGACGACTATTTTAGTAGCATACAAGAGAAACCAGCCTCGCGTGGCAGCTAGCTTAGCATGTTGCTCTCGTGTGCGGATAGTTTTCGTAAGGATTTGACCTTTCGAGGCCTTGAGGAAAATATCTATCGTGTTTGATATTTTTCACCTTGCGAGGAAAAATTCTAAACGTCTCATGGATGTTGCCAGTTAGTGCTAAGATGGGCATAGTACAAAACATGGACTGGACCCATGGACTGGACCCATGGACTGGACCCAAAATTGGACTCAAAATTGGACTCAAAATTGGACCCAAAATTGGACTCAAAATTTTAGCCAAAATTTTGCCCAAAAATTCATTATTTTATCGGAGAGAAACAACCCTCAGAATATCGTGCTTTTATTTAATTTGTATAGGCAGAAAACTTCACGTTCCATCACTTTTCCTTGACCTATCTAGCTATTTGCCTTTATGAAATATCTTTGCGCAAGGTTTATTATTTACGAGATACCCTAGATAGCGTTTAGAAAATAGAATATAGAATTTTGGAAGACAAATAGCTAGATAGGTCAAGGAAAAGTGATGGAACGTGAAGTTTTTTGCCTATACAAATTAAATCAAAGCACGATATTCTGAGGGTTGTTTCTCTCCAAAAAAAATAATGGATTTTTGGGCAAAATTTTGGGTCCAATTTTGAGTCCAATTTTGGGTCCAATTTTGAGTCCAATTTTGGGTCCAGTCCATGGGTCCAGTCCATGTTTTGTACTATGCCGCTAAGATGCTTGAATGAACTAGCCAATGGGAATCCATAGTTTCTTCACGTGAAATAGATACTAGACACCTTTATCTATTCAGAGTGGTCCTATCAACGACAAAAACATGTCACTCATGTTATCAGGAGCTCAGGCGAGAATGTAGGGGAAATGCAAATGTCTTATCAACGATCCTTGCGGCTGTTGAGTAGCTTAACGCTGGGAGTAACAACAAGAAAAACTGATCTATATAGAAGCGATAAATATCTGCAGTGCTCATGTCACTATAAGCCATCTTTTCGGCATGCGTGTTGATGTGTGCATGTTGTACATCTGAGCAAGAAATCTCTGAATGTAGTTTTAGTCTGACTAGGAGGTCTCTCCTAAAGTCTTGTTTCCATAAGGTCGTAACGATCGTAAAGATTGAGTCACGATCTTTCTCATCAGTCGAAATACAACATTTTAGAACTGAAAATACGCGGAGTGATTATATTTAGAGAATACTTATTATTTATATGTGGTTTACAGCTAGGTATAAACTATTATAAACTGGCCGTTGAGAAAGATCGTGACCCTATTTTTACGACCATATCATATGGAAACTAGGCTTAAACGAAGATCATTCCAAAAGAGGATCTTGCATATTAAATTTGATTTCATTCACAACATCTCAACAGGTCTGCCATTTACATATTTATTCAGTACCACAGCTGTTAGTGATAACTCTTTCGCCTCTGCGACAGTTTCGCATCAGTCATAATTTAAGCAGCTGTTTCCAGATAACAATTTCCCTCAATAGCATTTTCGCATGCGACAACGAGTCCGCAAATAATTTCCTCGGGTACACCAGCATAGCGACAGTCTTGACTTGGAGGAGCAAAGCGAACATATTCTGCATTCCGAGTTCTGAATCATAACCAGGAAAGATGCATTAGAACAGTTTTGGAGATACTGGGAGGGGGAGAGGGACAGAGCTCCACCCCTCCCCTTGGCTACACCAAGGCGGTGCCCTGGTTTCCTCCTGTAGAAACACGGAATGGTCATTACTGGACCTTCATAAAGAGAAGAAATTAAGTCAAGTATCATGCACAAATTATACAATGGGCTAATTATTATCCGACTCATTCTTTGCGGCAAGGCAAGTCACTTTTGCTAATTTCCCATTCATTTTTCATCCAAATTGAACCAAAATTTAATGGATTTGTCCTTGGCCTATTTCCATTAGCCCCGCATAAAACCCCAAGTGAAAACATATAGCTTCCTAGCCGAGGTAACTATATAATAGAACTATACCGCTTAAATTCGGTATAAATAAAGGTAGTTTTAAGGCCAGTTTACACGACAAGCGTTTTGCGCACGGCACCCTAAATATGGGTACCCGTGCCCAAAATCCGTGAATGAAAATTGACACTGGTGCTCCATAGATTGAAGCTGCTGACGAAGATAGCCGTGCCGTGCTGGCGTGCTCAGTGAATGATTTCCAGAGGTAATCTACATCGAGCATGCGTAATTCGTTCATTTCCACATGCAGACCGCAATCAGCGGTTATCTTGAAGGCCAGTAAATTGCCTGTCTAGTCAAAATATTTATCTAAGATGTATCACTCTGAACAGTAAACAATCACTATATTCATGTACATATTTATATACATATATTTATGTATTTTTTGTCTTCTATCCGAGGATCTTTTCTCCTTAGCCTTGTTTTATTAAATGCAACATGGGTGCCGAGCCCAAAACCCAAGTAGTATATATAAACCGTAAAGATATTTAAACATGAGGGAGGATGTTCTTGCAGACAGAAACACAAGTTAATTTGAATATTGATGCAAATTCAACTTTCAATTATTTTAACAGGTTTGATATGTATCCGTCTGCTGCTATAATCTGATAAGTTTTTTTAATAATAATATACATAGAAAAAACCCAACTCAATTTGGATTGGCTAAGTGAGCAGTGGCAATGCAATTTTATCAAAATACAGTGCCGAAAAGAGAAATTCAATGCCAAAAAGAAATACGTCCAAAGCCAAAGGCCTAAAGAAAATATACATTTTGATATAAGTTTTGACGCCTGAGGTCTTCTAACGGTTGCATGAAAACTTGACTCAAATGATAAGTAATTAATTGACTGCGATAATATAATGAAAATCGTTGTCTAAGCCAAAAAAATCAAAGCTAAGGTTTATGTAAACTTTTATGACGTTTTATCAGATATAAAACCATCGACACAATAGGGCGTTTGCACTTATTTCCCAGGGACCAACTCAACAAAGCTATGGCGGCCATGTTGGTGTTCCAGACAAAAGAGTCTAATTAAAATTTTGAATTGGAACACCAACATGGCGGCTGTGACGTCATGTGCAAACGCTTTTATATATAGTGGTTTCCATTGTAGAATAAATTATCGAGTTTTTCAGTGAAGATTAATATTATTTACTTACACAGATTTAATGGTTTCTAAATAAGTTCTCCGAACTTTAATGGATTTTATACTTGTAGTTACGATCGATTAACATGTACTGTTTTTAATTAAATGGCTGATGAATAAGGCATGAATTATAGTCATATATTGGTATTATAACAGATAATCGATCATAACGTTTGAAATTCATTCAAACATATTTAAACTCGCCATGTTCTAGCGATTGAAAATACGTATAAACAGTTAGTGTTTGGGTAAATCTTAACATTTTTATGCCCAAATTTGTTGTGACCACGAAAATGTAAAATTCCGGTTTCACCAAGGCCAAGGTTTCACCAAGGCCAAGGTTTCACCACGCATACTACTACTTACATTAACCATTCACATCATTCAAAATCACATATATTGTATTTCGACAGCTCGGACAATAAAAAGCTATAAAAACTAGAACAATGTATAAACGATACAATATTCTAGTTATAGAATTTCAAATTTCGATAAAGCGAACGAATTTATTATCCGATGCCAAATTTAAAATAAATTTAATCCTATAAACTGAGGATTTAATTTATGCATGGAACAAGCAATCGCGCCAATGAAGTCACGGCCGTACTACTATAGCTGAAAACTATACGGTACCCAAATTAACCGAAAATTAGCCGTCCTCCACCCAAAATAAAACACGTTTCACCACCACGGTGTATTTAAAGGCCATGTTACATGGTGCAATTTTTCTTGCAACTTGCAATGCAATTCTACTCTTGAGAGATGTTAATTGGTGAAGTCAGTGAAGAATGTTCGATATGTTGAGAAAACATCAGCGGAGTGTAATGAAGACTCGCATTTGGCAATTTTACATCTCTCAAGAATATAGAATTGCATTGCAAGTTGCAAGAAAAATTGCAACCGTGTAACATGGCCTTAAGCGATAAGCAGCTGCGAAGAATATAATTGACATGTTATTCGAACTTCGTAGCTGATGACATGATGTTTTAACCCTTTACATAAATCCTTTGACCCACTTACAGCTTATTAGCATGCTAAAGCGACGTTTTTGATAACACTTACGTTAACCCCAAGTCAATCGAGGTCAATAACGTCATTAAAGTAAAAATGAAACGAGTACTTTTACTGTCTTATTTAAAATAACTATAGAGTATAAATCCTCTTGCAGTTTTCTTTCTGTTGCTTCGTTTTCGAGGTATTTCAGACTCAGTATGTTTGATAAACATGTCATGGAGGTTCTATATATACGTCACAAGTACTAGATAAAACATGAGCAGCCGATCTGTATCTGCTATACAAACTCGAGCCGAAGGCGAGAGTTTGTATATCAGATACAAATCGGATGCAAATGTTTTATCTAGTACTTGTGACGTATATATAGAACCTCCATGACATGTTTATCAAACATATTATTGTACTTAAAAAATGACCCATCTTATGAGTTCATTGGCGAAGTAATTTCAAAAATAAACATTGTCTATGCCGAGAAAATCAAAGCTGAAGTTTATGTAAAAGTTTATGTAAAGCAGGACAAATCTTTATCCAATTTACAAACATCGATTAAACATTCATTTCTTTTGTATTTTCCTCGTGAATTATTAATGAATTTTTTAAGTACTGTTTAATAAACGAGCAGGAGTGTTTTATTAGGTTTAAAGATACGAGCGCTGCGCGCGAGTGGCTCTAGACCTAATAAAACACGACCTGCGAGTTTATTAAACGGCTTCAAACACGACTACAAATTCAATAGATATACTGCCTTATTAGTATTGTTTATATAAAAAATACTAATGAGGACACGAATACAATAGATACTACCTTATTAGTATTCTTTATATAAAGGATACTAATTAGGAGTGTTTTATCAGGTTTAAAGCCACTGCACGTGACATATTATGGTTGACATGATTTGGCAATAAGCTTATGAATTATTAATGAGTGTTTGAAATATGTATAAAGATGTACTGAAAATATTATATATAATATATTCTTGTTATTATACGAAATGAAATTACCAGAGATTCCAGGAATTTGATGTTGTAGAACAACACAATATACATATTTTACTTCTAATTAAAATGCAATTTTGTGTGATAATATTAACAAGGTCAAGGATATACAACTTTATAATCTGATAACTCAATCAATGTATTTTGTGGAAACAAATAAAGAAACCATGACACGTATATACAAAACCTAGTTTCTTTGAGAGGTATTTTAAAAATTCGGCTAATTTTTTGAAAACTAAAATTTTTAACGAACTCCGCTCGTGTATTAAGACATATTCACATTTCACATAATAGATTATTTTGAACATCATCATGGACAATTCAAAAGGACAAAACCAATTAGATTATGCATATTTCCGCAGAATATTCTTAGACTAGTTCACACTGCCGAAATAATGCCGGTAAAAATATTACGTGCACGTATTCATGCGTACGTTACAGATTGTTCACAAATTAAATTAGCACTAATGTAAACGCAAAATATTTCAAATAGAGCGAAGAAATTTAAACGAAAAGTATTCGAATTTACTGTTTTGAGATCCAAGATGCTTGTTTTGCAAGCGGTACAAAAAAGTAACGGCGTTTGTGTCCACACGAAGCCGCAAAGCGCTCCGTTTTCATCTCGCTTCGTTTAGAAACCGTGCAAAAATTGTTACGGTAAATTAAAAGTGACGTTTTCAAACAATTTCGTTCCGGCGTCGTGTGAACGCAACGGTTACGGTTAATTATGACTTTTCGGCGCCGTTTTCAAACCGTTCCAGCACAAAGTCTCCGGCGAGGTGCGAACGTAGTCTTTAAGCAGTTGTCTTAGGAATAAATAACATCACCTAATACAAACAGGGTCACTGATCTGTGATAAGTACAGATTACTAAAGATTAGCGAGAACCGATCACACGATCATTATGGCGATTGCAAACATCTCCATAGTAACGAACACGAGGCTCTTGGGACATTTACAATGGTGTTTACGCAGTCAACTCTATAAAAACTGGCACGACATTGGAAAGATGGCGGAAATAGATGATTCCAGACTAAATTTTGATCCAGACGAGAAGGACGAAATCTATCATTATAGCTTAAAAGAACATCCTTAAATTAGTAAAACTGCCAAATTTGGTTGCCAAATGTTGTAAAATACGAAAAATATGGCCATGTGAAATTAGCAAATTTTCGGAGTGTTATGTGAGGAAAAATGCACCACATTTGAGCCGAAAGTGGTACATTTTTCCGCACGTAATACTAAAATACTCAAAATTTGCGGCTAATTTCAAACGGCTATATTTTTCGTATTTTACAGCATTTCGCAACCAAATTTTGCAATTTTATTCATTTAGGATGCTCTTTTAAGCTGTAATGATAGATTTCGTCTTTCTTGTCTAGATAAAAAATTAGTCCAGATAGCTGAAATCATCTATTGAAGTCCGTCATGTATAGGTATGCCCCAGGCCCCTACACGGTAATTGACAGAATTCAGTACGAAAAATCGGCATCATTTCATGTAGAAATTTCATAATTTTTCGGCCGACTATTTTTTAAGTCTGGTTTTACCATAAGAAACTATAGCAAGTGCTCTTTCGGAATAAGCAAATTTTCAAAACACTTCATGATTAAAAGCGAAGTTATTTGACGAGTGAAAAACAAATTCAGAAAAACTCCCGCGAAGAAACACCAGCAAACTTTTGTTCTTCTGGACATCTATGCAGGGATGGATTTACTGGGGTGCGGGGTGTGTGCACCCCCCTAGCCCTGGCCAGAGGGGATGCAGGGGGGGGTGCTATTTTTCATGATAAAGCAAAAAATTATTAGAGGCAAAATAAAATACAGTAATTTGAGTAATAACATGATGATAAGCGAACTGTGAACAACAATTACAATTCAAATACAGTAGTCAACCAAGACTTTGCTATAGTGAAGCAAGTTAATGGGTGGGCGGCACACATGACCGACACAACTCGGCACCAGAGATGGCAGAGCACCCCCAGATCCATGCAAAATAAAAATAATAATATGGACTGTAATTGCATCAATCCTACCTTTTCATTTAGGTTTTAGCTTTTACGTAGGGTATTTTTACCACTAAAAATAAGCAATTGTGTGCAAAAATTGAAAAACATCGACGGGAAAACCTTACCGAACACCTTTGCCAGTTCAACTTCAATCAAAAGGAGATTTTCTCGTTATACAGGGTGTATAAAAAAACATGCACAGTTCAAAAACTGCAAATTCCGAAAAATCTGTGAAAACGTTATGCAAGTATGGGTATTTTGTGGTCTGCTTAGTATCATTAACACTAAAATTATTTTGAAAAGTAAATTTTCGAATGCAGGAAGATTGTTTCTAAAAACCTCTTTAAAAATGGCTTGTGCACAAAAATGGAAGGCTTAAAAAGTATTGAATTTGTATATAGGGTGCAAATTTAGACGGTGTTTTATGAACTATCAAAGTACCAGACAGATTTGATGACTATACGCGCGAGTCACGACAACCAAAACTTGGACTTTTTGGCCACAGTAGCCTTAAAAAATCGCTAAGTCTTTCAAACCTTAACTCTCGTCTTGCTTCGCAACCATAACAACAGAGTGTTACGAAAATGTTAACCTGCACTCGTATTTTTTTACCTTTTGGCGGAAGAGTGTTACGGCAAATCAACTCTCCATGTTGAATTTGAAATCATCGGAATAGTTAAAAAATTGGGTGTGGTCGATGGAAAAAGTGGACGTGGCTCAAACATAACTCTCCAAAATCTTAAATCTCCGATCTTTAAAATTCTCCGTTTAACCGTTCCCCGATAATAAAGTCGTAATACAAGGCGCAGGTTTCTCTTATTTGTATTCATTTATTAACATTTATACAATTGAATTCATTATTCATTTGTAAAAATCATATTAAAATTAAATTCGAATTCTTCATTGTCAAATGCAGACAATTTTATTCACCCAGGCTGCGAGTTTTTAATACCTTAATATAACTTTTATGCGAGGAACTGCAATTTAAAACGCTTACGACTACGATTCGTAGAAAGAGCGAGGATTATGCAAAATTGCTGTTCACTGTTGGTAAATTTTTTTCTGAAGTAAATTTTCAATTTTTTTTCAAATTTCAAAAATGAGTAAAAATTTGCCCACAAGTTTAATCAATTTTAATCAATATTTCGAGTCACTGTGGACCGGTGCACTACTTTGCCCACATTTTTTAGTCAAGTTAGGGATTTTTTGCAGTAAAGATTTCAATATTTTGTCACTCAAGGCAGCGCTTACACTATCAAAGTTTCAGTGAACACAGTAGAAATTTTGCATCAGGTAAATTCTAGGTTTTGAAAGATTTGTAAGAAATGTTTAAGGGAACAGATTACACCGAATCAGTTTCCTCAAACATTTCTTACAAATCCTTCAAAACTTACAATTTACCTGATCGAAAATTCCTATTGTAACCACAGAAACTTTGATAGTGTAAACCAGGCTTTAAATTTGCCCAAAGTAGCGCAACGGAACTTCGTAGCCTGCGAACAGGCGCTCATTATGCACGATCAAAAATTGCGGCCACAAGTGAACTAACTAGTTAAAGGCACAGTTCAGCCTTTTGAATGATGGCGTTTAAGGCGCATTTCAGCCGTTTTAATTGAAAAAACTAACTAGGAAAATCAATTAAGCATGATTCAAGATAAGCAATGTTAAAAACATTGAGTTTACTGATCTTGAATTATGTATAATTGATTTTCCTAGTTAGTTTTTTCAATTAAAACGGCTGAAATGCGCCTTAAAAACCATCATTCAAAAGGCTAACTGTGCCTTTATAAGCTGAGCTTGTTTATCTTAATTAAACATGCTGATGTGTACTGAATACTAATGAAGCGAACTACAAAATTGTTTCAAGATATAAAAATTTATTGACAAAATTGCAAGGAAAAGGCAAAAGGCACCAAGCTATGAAGAACACTTTAAACATACAATTGCTACGTTTCCACTATACCGGATAGCTTTTCGTATCGGCGCAAAAAAGCACCTATCCGATACGGAATGTACAACTTTCAGAAGCTGAGCGAAACAACATCTCTCCGTTGCAATAATTCCTCTGAAAATAGCGTTCCTAAAAGGTACGGATAGGCGTTTTTTCACGTCGCTACGGAAAGCTATCCGGTAAACGTAGTCTTATTTTGTCAAAACAGTGTAAACGTAGTCTTATTTAGTCAAAACAGTGTAAACGTAGTCTTATTTTGTCAAAACAGTGTAAACGTAGTCTTATTTAGTCACATATAAACCAAAGTAAAGCAAAACCCAAAAAGCGCGCGAAAATTTTTGGCTGAGAAATTTTGAACACTTAACGACATGGCCATTCCCCCCTCCCCCCTGCAATTTCTGGTCGTGGCAAACACTGTTGACGCCTATTCGCAGGCTAGCAACTTACTTGATTCAGTTCATTCCAGTCTAGATTGCTTCGGTCATGACCATCCTATTTCATGTAATGTTGTGATATTCGGATTTATGTAACGACGCCATCATTTCAAAGCTGTACCAATGGCCTTCATCCATAATGCAACACCAACCGCGCCGGGGTCTGGTTCCGATAAAACACTCGATCCAATGTAACTCGCTCGGCCAGCTTGAGCTTGCATTTTGGCCGTGTTCTGTGCGCCTTCCTCGGCAGCCTGGGGAGAGAATACAAATCATTGCATCACAGCGCAATCTCGAACCCTGAGCCTGCAATCCTCTATGAAGGCACAGATTAAGTATATACCAGATGCGTATCTTCATAGGACTTCGTGTCCTGAAATTTCCCTAAGCTGTACACGAATTATCACGCGAGGCGGCACTTGCTAGGAAGATGGCGACTGTGGGACAACGTTTTTAGTTACTGAAGTTACACATCTTAATCTGTGGAGGAGGCTTGCCGAGGCTCTGGGAAACACCAGCGAAAATCGGGCTCCGATTGGTTGTTTATTAATTGTTCGTATACCCATTTCTTTTACACTGATTCCGTGCTAATTATTATTCAAACTGTGAGTCTATTTAGTGATTCAAACATAGTTCAATATAACGTTTATATCAATAAAACATACAGTATAACTTCAATAAACTATTAAGTTTAATATTTCCTTCGCCTCTCATATGAAATTAATAGACTATTCTGATATTAATATGCCAATAAAAAACTGTAGAACAGTACAGCATTACCATGTAAGGACATGATAAGCCATTACTTGTAATATTTATTAATACCAAAATCGGCATTACTCTCAAGGCTAGCAACACAACAATCCATGATTTACCATAATTAAACAAGTTAAATAAATCACTACCATGAGTATGTTACAACATTTTAAAACCCTGACAAGTGTTCTTTGAAAAACTAAAGTCGTAATAAACTTGAATAAGGCATAATTCATGTTTGACGGCAGCAATGTTTATTTATAAATGCCGAGCGGGGTACTGGGTCCAACGTATGCAGTCTCCTCTAGTCGATTCAGTTTTAGGGATTGATGACATGGAGAGTTTTCAGTCCAGGTTGAGTTTTATCCTGGTTCCCTATAGGGTGGAGTTTTATCCCGGTTCCCTATCCCTGGCCTAAGGATAAAATCCTATTAAAACACAGCAAGTAATTACATGTCAGAAACTGTAATTCAAACTTCATTCGCATTAGGACCATTTCATTTAATATCCACCCCCCCAACAAAAGAAGATCAAAGTGCCGACACAAAACACCCCTCAGAAATTTGTAAATTTTCCCCTTACCCCTCAGAAATATTGCAGAGATCAAAGACTGTCGACAGGCTTAACCCCTCAGAAACGACTTTGGAGTCACTCTTCAGAAAAATTCATCCGTAGGGGTGGGTGGGGGTGGACATTAAATGGAATGGCCCTTACTACATTCCCAGTTCATTAATGGCCATTAAAACTCATCAACTACCTTCACTGCTTCTTGAAAGGCATCTACAGGATTCATAGGATTTTCCAAAGCTTTTTTCAATGACGCTGACGCAGGACACAGAGCGTCCAGCTGTAAAATGTTGTAAAAAAACCCACAATTAGCCCAGACTAGGCAGTATATTTTACAAATACAATAAGTTGCTATAATTTGTGAGCCTAAAAAAGATTAAACACCCTTTGATGTTTCGAGAAAAGGCACATCGTCAGGTGGTCAGGAATATTGAAGTGGTTTTAAACTTTTTCTGTTTCAAGTAGTTCAGACCTAACAATTTGAAACAAAATTCAGCAAAATTAAGTCCGTACCATTGTTCTATAACCCTCTTCAGCTTGACCATACCTAAAATGAACGAAATCCAAAACAGCATTCAAGATATTAAAACAATTTTACTGCAACATCTGCAAATATGACAATAAATTACGATCATATCTAAGCAATACATTTACCTTTTAATAGCTTCAATACCACATTCAAAAGCTTTACACCATTGCACTGGATTAAAATTATCTTTTATTTGCTCCACACCAGCAAGTAGGAATAAACTATATAGCTAAAAGCATAGAAAATTTAGTTTTAGACACACGCGAAGTTCAAATCGTCTGTGGTGAGAGGAAATGCAGGGTGGCTGAAAGAATAATTCTACAAATATGGGATACGTTTTGACAACAATTCAAGTGTGGTAAATCAGTCTTTTTGTTCAGTTTGTGGCTTCATCAATTAGCCTTTCTCACGGCCGATTTTTCCGCCATTTTTTGGGTACTGCCTCGCCCACGTTTGAGAGTCTCCGCACCACGAAATGCGACTTTTTAGTATTGTAGTTGTTTGTATAATGGTAAATTTACAGTTACAACTTTTAAAAGTCGCTTTTCATGCACGTTGTTTGAATTGGCTAGAATCTTTCACGAGGGCAGACAGTACCCCCAAAATGGCAGATTTTGGCCTTCGTGAGATTGGTATTGTCAATTATAAGCTTGTTTGCTGCAGTATAAGAATGTTTGAGGTTCTGTTGAAAAGAAATGTGTCATTAAAAACCGTTAAAACGTCAGGATTTTGATAAATCATTCATCCTACTGAATTTGTAGCCTTTTTGTTTTTAGATAGTAGTTGAAAAAATCACTTCTATATGCTTGTTCTAGCTATTCTCTTGCCAATGGTTAAACGTCATAAATAAATTCAATGGGCCGGCCCCAAAATATCAAAATTTCCAAGATCACAGTAGAATAAATTCAATGGGCCGCTCCCCAAAATAATAAATTCAAGGCCGCCCCCAAAATATCAAAATTTCCAAGATCACAGTAGAAATTTCGGATAGGTAAATTCCAAGTTTTGAAGAATTTGTAAGAAATGTTTGAGAGAACTAACTCATTGTTTAATACTCAAAAGAGTTAACAGAGTCAGTTCCCTGAAACATTTTTAACGTAATATTTCAAATCCGACTATGAGGACTGGACTAAATTTGAAGTCCGCGCAAGTTGACCAGAATGGACTGGATCAAAATGCTCGCGAGGACTTGAAATCAAGTCCAGTCCGAATTGGAAATGACATCTCATACGAATAAATCACTACTTCAAGTGAGGCGAATTAATTTTGATCCAGTTCAAGGATTGAATTAATTTTGATCCAGTTCTATAGGATTGGATCAGTATACTTCACAAGGTCCAGTGTTATCCTGTAAGCAAAATAAAGTAATATGGTTGGCTAACTTACTCATGAATTATTAATAAGTTTGAGATAAATCCTTCAGATTTTACCCACGCAAAAAATTCCTACAGTGATCACAGAAACTTTGACATTGTAAACCAGGTTTAAACAGTGAGCTCCATATATATATCTGGAGTGAGAACTTGGTTGCTGAAAGTGAAGCCAAAGATGGCGGAAATTGACGTCCAGTGCCAGTCCTTTCTATTGTTTTTGTCCGCGCGGTCAACACAAACTGACGTCCAGTGCCAGTCCCTTTCTATTGTTTTTCGTGTTTTGACGTCGATTTAAAGAAGAATACTGTGGTTTTATAAACTGATAACTTGTTTAGCGATACAATCCATTAGAAAAATGTAGAATTAGATAGGAAAATGCTATAAAAAACTGTTTACAACCTTCATAGATTTTGGACGTCAATGTCCGCCATGTTTGGCTTCACTTTTCATATAGGCCGAATGACTGAAGTTCTCACTCCAGATATATAGAGAGCTCACTGGGTTTAAATCATCATACTGTACATACCGCTCCTGACGAGCCCCCCATACTGTCTTCGATAATATCTGCGAGTGAAACAAGAGCCTTGTACGGAGAATTACAAGGAATACCGCAATTATCAATGCTGCCTAAGGCGTTCTTTATACCTAAATAATGATAGAAAATATCAGGTAATATATATTTATTTCTTTAGGTTATCTATATGTTAAAAAATATCTGTTTTTTACCGAATAATGTACTGTTATTATTTACAGTAAGTATGCTGTAATCGTAAATTACAATATAATAGATTGTATTTTAAAAGAAATCTGTTATTGGACATGTGATGGACAGTAATCTTTTACAGTAAATTTTTGTAATTTGCAGTAAAATTGACTGTATTTAAAAAGCGGAAAACTGTTATTTTACATATGTTTGACCGTAATCTTTTACAGTAAGTGCACTCAGTGTAATTGCAAATTACGGTGCAATAGACTATACTGAATTACAGTCTTTTTACGGTAAAAATACATACTTCTGTTAAAACATAGGTCCGCTGTGGCGTACATACATCTACTGAATCAACGGTAGCACCAGGAAATAAAGGCATTGAGCAGGTAAAAACATAGATGTGCACTCTGACCGTTGGAACGATTTCTGGCATTCCCAAAGTGATATAGCCGAAACAAGCATTGTTGACGTTTTAAAATTGTTTCCGGTTCAGAAATGGAAATTATGCCGTGATAAAAGATGCAAATTTGAAGATAAAAGCTACACAGTGTTATTGATAAAAGATACGTCCAAAGGGTATGTTCGGTGAAAGGTATGGTTAGTTTATATTTTTGTTTAGACAATTGCGTACGTAATTTGATAATATACGATCTCGCTTGACTTTTTCAATGGCCATAAATCTCTACAATGTTGATAATGACTAAAACTATTGTGCACTGAACCCAAGATATGAACATACAAAGTCGTCATCCTCTCGCGCAGTTATACGGCATTCTTGGTATTTCCACAGAGTAGATACTTATACAGAGTTGTAACTAGTGTACCCACTTTTTTTGTGCGCGTGCTCGGCAAGTTCCTAGATGCATGCGTCTGGTTGGATGGCGGCTCGCGGCTGTAAAACTTGCCGAGTACGCGCAGTTGATCATTTTTTGCCCGGTCGCCTGAAAAAAGTGAGTACACGAAAACGTAAGCTTTCGCAGTGTTTATATACAACGGTCAGTTACAGCTCTGTATATGTATTTACTCTGTGGTATTGCACTCGTGTCATTGATAAAACCATTTTTGCTGCCGAGCGTCAGCGAGGTGCCAGTCTCCTTACCGCGCGCCGAGTTTAGTAGACTAGCTTCAATCTCGATTTTTTGTATTTGTATGTCAGCAATTCAGGGGGGGTATGCAAAGTTATAGTACCCCATGCAAAGGTATAGTACCCCATGCAAAGTTATAGTACGTTGCCTCATTCATTCTCGTCTCTCGTTGCTTTATTTGGGAAGTTTTCTTTGGTAAGAGGTGGTTAAGTTTATGATTCGGGTTTGACATGTCCTTAATAAGTTGGACACACATGTCATCGAGTCGGTCCGTTAGGGACGGACCATTTGATTTTTCATGGGGGGGGGGGGCGGCGCAAATCCGAAAAAAAATATCGAGCATGTCTCGAATGGAAGAAAAAAAATCGAACATCACTAACACCAGCAAAAAAAAATATCGAGCACAAAAAATTCTAAATTAGCAATACTCTATATTGAAAGAAAAATTCAGTTTCCCTTAGTTTTTTTCTGTTGAGTGTTTCGGTTCTGCCTTGGTTAACAATACCGGAAGTATACATGCAAAATACAAACCGATACAAACCAGTTCTGACAACTTTGACTTCAATAATTCAATTATCCACAAATTACCTTAATGGTATCCCTAAAAACCCCAATCTTAACACTGAAAGTCCCACACTTCTGTAAATACGACATCGATTAATGAGGGTGGGAAAGGGGGGGAGGGGTATGATTCACGTTTCACAACAAAAAAAAAGTTTCACAATTCACGTGCCATAAAAAAGCAATTTCACATTTCACGGATAACGAGACTCTAATAAAAATAATATAATAATAATAGCTTTAAGATTATGTTTAATGCATGGTACAGTACTACGCTTTAAGAGGCTGTCTCTACAAAAACGGACCGATCAAAATCTCATTAAAAACAAATTTCGCTTGCATTTTACAGGAAAGTACAAAAATGTGTCTACATTAACGAATTCGTATCGGTTTTTCAAATTTCTTGACTCTTCACGAGATTTTATGGTGTATGTATCAACCACCGAGCACGTCAAAATGGCGGCCATTTTCCGTACGCAAGTTGTTCAATTTAGGCAGTCGATTACTTACACTTCACAGAAAGCCAAAAACAAATTACTACTCAAAGTTTACGTACTTACGTACCTTGTATAAAAAAATAATTGAAAGAATAAACATTTCTCCAGATTTTGCACGTTGGGCAAATCTTAAATTTGCCTATTTCGAACAATAACAGCAATCACCAAAAGTACAGTCAAGACGACGGCGGTTTTTGCTAAAGTGAGGTACGTAAAAATAATACATTCTATACTGGGTCAAAGTTTAAGACATGTTTTACTGAGATCAAGCGAAAAATGTTTTGGGCTAACATGCTTACAAGTATATTTGGCTCTTTAAATAATAGTAAATTTGAACATGTGACGTAATCTGCTTCGTTTTAAACACGGATCGCTCAGGCGCTTAAAAATGCAAAATCTTACCTTATCTGCCCATAACTTCTTGAATTTCTACAAGCTCATTTTTTTCAATCCAAAACTACGGATATGCGTTGTAACGAGGAAAGATAAATGAATGATACGTCGTTAAACTCACGCCAAATGTTCCCTAATGTTAAAATAATTACGTCCTCCGCGGCTTTGGACTGTCGACTGATCGTGATTTTTGGAAGGTCTGTTCTTGGTAGGCAAATAGTATTTTATAACACAGTTATAGTGCTTATAGTTTCTCAAAAGCACCATACAGCAAATCCTTATCTATGTATTCTTATTTCAACTGACAGTGAAGATAGAAGTAGAAATACATTTTATGCCTTATTCTCAAATTTGTTGTTGACGTTTTGGTATATACTTCATGTAACTCCCACTGAAAAATGTCAAACGAGCACAGAGTCATAGAGACAGAGTTCTGAGTACATCCGTAGCTCAGACACATAACAAAACAATTTCAGCTCTTTACAATAATTGTAAAGAGCTGGAATTGTTTTGTGAATATGTAGTTACAGTATCGAGATTGCATGGAAATCAACTTGCTATTGAGATACACTTCATTGATCGTCTAGGAAAAGTTAGTTTTTCCACAATTGTCTTCAAGTTTGTTTAATCACTACCCATTAAATGGTCCCAAAGATATAAATTATAGACAACCATACAGTATAATGTTGAATTAAAAGTAAAATGCAATTCATATGTCAATTGTTTTGTTAACTCGTTTCTCGTTGTCTAACTCTGATTCCACGACCTCTTTACTCTTTTCTCAGCGAAATCATCTGACGTTGTGTACAGAAACAATATACAATAAAATCACCTATGTGCAGCCATCAGTGCGAAATTTATTCACAAAATATTCTGCAGACACACAGTCACCATTGCATTTCCCGCGAACAATTTCGCGTCGTGGAATCATACCTTCATGTTGAACAGGAACATTGGTCAAGCATTTCCTTGAGTTTGGCTATAAGCATTCCTTTGGTTTCCCTCGACTTGAATCCAATGTCAAAAGTGCTGCAAATTTCTTTCAGCATGACAATTTTAAATACATTCAGACGGTTTTGTTCATTGCATTCACACAAATCGTAGGTGTCATAAATTATTGGATGTGTTACCCCCATCTGGCTTTCAACAGCTTCTAGCAACGAGCATCTTTCCTGCTCTTCCTCCAAACTCTCCAGTTCTTCCATCCAGTGATTTCCAGAAACGTCGTCGATTTCTGATAGGCTAACCAGGTCATCTTTGGAATCGTTTGTTCCAACATTCTTTCTGCGTGCTGCTGCTAGTCTTGAAAAAAAGCTTTTCACCTGATTCTTTGTAAGCCACTGATCTCTCTGGAATAGCCGATCCCCGTCTTCATTTCGTGCTTTTCGCATATCCAATGCAACTTGCTGTGAATCAGCCTTCTCACCAGTCCTTTCCCCGAGGTCAAACTTTGCTTTGAGGTATAACTTTACACAGTCTGGAAACCGAGACTTGGAGGCTGGCGCGTGGAGAGCCCAACCCATGGGCAGAGCTGAAGGACATCCGCTTTCGCCTTCAGAATGGATAGTGTTATCTGCTGAAATTGGCTGTGTATTACTTTTATGAACAGTAACGTTGCCAAACTGCGCAGCCCACTGTCTTCTGAGCTGGTCGTAAATGCTTTCATTGGGATGAACGAGTTCATGCACTCCCAATTCCATGTGGACATCTAAGTCTTCCATTGAGTCGAACTCTTGACAACATCCTGGTTCTGAGCACTCATAAATCTGAACTTCCGTGTCAGACGTCTTGTCTTGTTTGGTTTTGAAGCTTCTGCCACCGACTTCTGGAAAAAAATCCTGATCTTCTTCAACTTTCAAATTGGTTGGTCCCTGGTGCTGTAAGAAGATACTCGAGTAAGGAATGAATCTTCCACTACCAACAGAAAATGCTTTCCATATTCGAATTCCTTTGTCTTCGTGCTGAAAGTTATGGAAGCTGCTGAATCCTTTCAATTTCGTCATTTTCAAGGTTTTGTTCTCTGTACTGACGGAGTTAACAGATGATGTTGTTCCCTTAACAGGTCGTTGCTGTAAAGCTTCACGCATATCTTTCGCTCGAATGACATCATGACCTTCATTGCAGAACCGTCTTATCGATTCTTTCATTGGACATAGGATTCGATCACACACATCTTTCCCATACTGCGGTTCGGAGAAATCGTACCTTTCAACTTTGATACCCGCTCTCTTACTAATATCTTGAACGGCGGCTATCAGCTCATTATTGTGGTAGCACCCGGCTTCATCGGACCTTAGAAATGCTCTTCTAACTGTCGGGTGATCACGTTTCAGTGCCTTGAACAAGTCCTCGATAATAGAAACGACTGTATACCAGTCCTGGGTGCAACTATCAAAGTGATGTACGTACGACTTGATGATATATGTTGCGCTGTTATTTCGATGGATAACACTACTCACATGCCAACTTAAGCCACGTTTACCGAACCAATCGGATTGTTTCTCTCTGTAACGCAGCTGCAAAAACTTCATTGCCCAGTCCATAACGATAAGAACAGAACTATCATCTAACTTCTCCAACACTGCTTGTTTTCCACATTCCTGATTCTCAGATCGCAAAATATGAGCTTTCCATGCTAAAATGGCGTTTTTAGCAAGTCCAAAATCATGCAAGATATCTTCTTTCAGATCATTCCCATAAAACCCCTGACAAGTTTTGATAGCATGTTCTATGTCAATCAAAACTTGAGTAAGTCTTTCGCACTGATCACACACAAGGGTGTGCCTGTGGCTGCACAGTACCTGAAATTCCTTATTTTCCGAATCACTAAGCGCATACTTCCGGCAATGATCAGGGCATGGGCTTTCAGTCTCCTTGCAATGCACCCGGAAGTCGGTTTTGAGATACTTCTTGCCTGCTCGGAGTGATTTCCTTGTCTCTTCATACCAGCTTATCCTCTCGTTTGACGCTTGTTGTAAACTATTCAGAATGTTTTCCATGGAATCAAATGCACTTGAACCATCTGCTGCAGTATTATCTAGCCCATATAAAGACTTTCGCTGGGAAGCTTCTCTAACATTCAAAATTCTGAAGAGAGTAGCGCGACTTAATGGCGAAAATTCTGTCTTTGTACAATGTTTCTGATACTCAGAAATTAGGGTAGACTTTGTAACTGTTCTGATGACATTTGGCATGGCTAATCGTTCTCCACTTTCTAGTTTAAGGACCCGTGTTCCGTAGGACACATCTTGATAGAAATATGGGCGATTAGAAAATTCGATAAAGTGATCAAGTTTTGCTTTGTTCAAATAGATCCTGTGTTTCTTTGTTGTCTCGACTGGTGTCCCTGGGCCAAATGTTTTAGCGTGGGCCCTTGCTTTCTTTATTTGCCTTTCGCTTAGCTTTTCAAATGATGAATGCATTTCGATTAACTTGCTTGCTGGGTATTCGTACGCATAGAGACTCAGTATTTGTGTCTTGATCTTTTTAGAAGTCGTGTTCCTGTATGCTGTAGTTAAGAAATCTAGGTTACAATCCCTTTTATGTTCTTGAACAGCTTGAAACAAACTTTTACCATCACTCGGAGAGATAATATTGCAAATAACTTGGCAAGCTTCGGTTGCTTTCTCGGTAAACATTTTCTGCTCTTCTTTGGTTGCATCAGTCCAGCTAGTTTTCATCCTGGTTTGCAAGGGCTTTATTTCCTCTTGGTTCGTTTGCGACGACAATTCAATCATTACTCTGTTGTAATTTTCTAGAACCGTGTCCGTCTTGTTCCTAGCTTTCTCAAGCAAAATGGTGTTTTCCTGCGAGCTGTCACTACCTGGACCACTCCACTGACCTGGTGTCCAGTTCGCGTCTTTAGTAGTGTAACTGGAAGAACGAGGTGTGTCACAAAACGAAGTCAACGAAGTTACCCTTTATATAAAATAAAATGAAATAAGTCCTTTCCCTTTAAAAATCTTTTCCGTCAATTTGGCATGAATGCAAAAACTAAATGCAACGACTGTAAACAATGATACATCTATATCAACCTCGTATCCAGGCTCTTTCCACTACGCTCCTCGCTGGAGGAAAGAGCCTGGGAACGAGGTTGATATCTATATATAATATTCGATGATGTATCTATAAAGAGACGTTAGAAAAGGCGTTGCCAGGGACACGCCTTCTCCTTTCGGACTTTTTTTGTCCAAAGTTTTATGTACCTGTTCTTTGGTGCTACCCTTTTGTTCCCACCATCCCTATCCGTTTCCTCATCAACGTATTTTTTGTGCGATTTTCGGCAATTTGAACATACAGCTGCAAGTACATTTATAATTTTATAAATAATATAGTTTGATAAGATTAATAGCAAGACTTATTATATAGTAGAGAGTGAGATACTGAAAAATACACAGTGAGATATTTTCCATATCTTCACTAGTGCAGATATCGATCACGTGACTTTTTCCAACTTGCTTTAAAGCGTGAAATTTCACAATTTTTTGCTTGGCACTATATAATAAACACAACATTATACGGTGCCTTGAAGATACGACTTTTATCTTCTCGTGTTAAAAACAATATTTTATTTTTATTACAATATTTTTTAAAATGTTTTTATATATATTCTATATATAGATAAAAGTCATATCTTCGCGCCGCCATGCATAATATCCTCTGTTTATATAGAGGCAAACTTTTTTTGAGAACAACGAGAAGATATGAATACTTACAAGATCCTACTGGTATAGTTGATCCATACAGAGTATAGACATCTTTCGCCATTTGCAATGTGACTACATCTGTACCTTTCAATGTCTTGCTTTTACCTTTGTGCAATGGGTATTGGCACGTTACTTTCGAAGGCCGCCAAAATTTACCAAACTTGTGTCGGTGATAAGGACACACCAGAAGCTGCTCTTTTTCCTGCTGGGAAACGTCAAACATGCCAACCCTTGCTAGAATCAGGTCACATTCGTTTAGATTCGATTTCGAAAGGCGAAAGCTTGCCAGGTGCCGTTGAATATCGTCATTGCAGTCGCACAAAAGTACAGCCCCCTTATATCCCTAGAAGTGCCACAAGAGTTTGAATCCATCTCTTTCAGAAAACACTCGGATGTCCTCATTGCCATGATAGCATGTGATTTTCTCGATTTATCCCAAAAGAAGTACAGTACTTTCAGCTCAATACAGTGCTGTCGGAATCTAGTGATCACGTTTATTCAATTTGTTGTTGTCAGTGGGTCAATTTGTTTTGTAATCTATTTTCATTGATTTATAAATAGAAATGATTATTACAAACTGGTTTAATACTACTACAGTAATATAAAAAATTTGGTTACACCTAAGCGAGGGTGTGGTCAAAATTTTTGATATACTTTTTATTGAGAGTTACATGAAGTCTATAGGTGGAAACGAAAACAATCGACACTTCTACAACAACAAATATGCAAATATTAAAAATTAAACTTGCTCAATTCTCACTCATTGTCAGTGAAAATTAGATTTAATGTGTGATCCTTCTGCAAAGCTATGATGCAGCATCACACCTGTGCTGTGAAATGCTGTATTTTCTTACCGAGAACAAGTCTTGTAAAAATGACAATTACGGTGCAAAGCCGGTGGGCAGTATTTATAATATTATCTTGGTTTAACGACGTATTATCATTCATTTATCTTTCGATCCTCAATGCAACGCATATCCGTAGTTTTGGATTGAAAAAAATAAGCTTGTAGAAATTCAAGAAGTTATGGGCAGATAAGGTAAGATTTTGCATTTTTAAGCGCCTGAGCGATCCGTGTTTAAAACGAAGCAGATTACGTCACATGTTCAAATTTACTATTATTTAAAGAGCCAAATATACTTGTAAGCATGTTAGACCAAAACATTTTTCGCTTGATCTCAGTAATACATGTCTTAAACTTTGACCCAGTATAGAATGTATTATTTTTACGAGTCTCACTTTAGCAAAAACCGCCGTCGTTTTGACTGTACTTTTGGTGATTGCTGTTATTGTTCGAAATAGGCAAATTTAAGATTTGCCCAACGTGCAAAATTTGGAGAAATGTTTATTCTTTTAATTATTTTTTTATACAAGGTACGTAAGTAAGTAAACTTTGAGTAGTAATTTGTTTTTGGCTTTCTGTGAAGTGTAAGTAATCGACTGCCTAAATTGAACAACTTGCGTACGGAAAATGGCCGCCATTTTGACGTGCTCGGTGGTTGATACATACATCATAAAATCTCCTGAAGAGTCAAGAAATTTGAAAAACCGATATGAATTCGTTAATGTAGACACATTTTTGTACTTTCTTGTAAAATTCAGGCGAAATCTGTTTTTAATGAGATTTTGATCGGTCCGTTTTTGCAGAGACAGCCTCTTAACACTTCAACTTTATTAGTAGTTTTGCTGTATATTACTTCGCTTTTCAGTGCACACGATAAGATAGTATACCTCTTAATTAAAAAAAGCGCGATTGTTTTCTCGAGAATATTTGAAATTCTCAATGTTTGCAGAAAAATTGTGGAAAATTCGACGGAATACGTCTGGGAGAAATCGCATTCAAAATGGCGGATCAGTGTTTTGTGTTATTTATATATTATCATTCAAATGAGATTGTTTGCACGAAAATATGGGTTCGTATATTGGCAATGCTCTTTGGAGCGCAATATTTAACTTCAAGTGTTATTCATACTGTTTACTTTAATATTTACTAACGGCGTGAGGAATATAAAGGTGTCCGGGGACATGCTCCTCCGGTAAAATATTGAATTTCTAAAGTTGTTAGTTCGAAAAAATATTCACGCAAAACGTTGTACTGTACACGCAAACCCAACAGCAAAATAGCGCGATATCTTCGTTTTTGTTGATATCGGTCATGATTGCTGCTATGCGCGTAAATTACAAAATTTGAAATATACACATAGGAACTGTGCTATACGCGATTCCACAGGACAAGGTGATTATTATGATTTCGGTTTATCAAAGCTCTAAGGGTTTAAAATAGCTTGCTTGAACATAGCAAGTTTACCAAAACATATTGACTAACTTTCGACAAACATTGTTGTTGTCGTTGTCGTTGTCGTTGTCGTTGGCATTGTCAGTGGCATTGTCGTTGTCGTTGTCATGGACTCCGTGTGTAAACATAGCAGCCCAAAACGGTTTTAATAACACTAGCACTCTTACAAATTGCAGCCTATTTTGGGAAATACACATACACTATTAGACGAAAAAATTGATCCAATGTATTAATCCAAGTTAAATTAAAACGCTATAAATAAATTCACCTATATAAACTTTGCCGAGCAAGATTCACAATTATTAAAAGTCACAACGAAGCGTGTTCACATGTTCCGTGTTGTTAACAAATTTTCTTCGCCATTATTGCTCAGAATTTTATATGACATTACGTGTACATGTAGCCAAATGTTGCCTGGTTGTTTCGCTGTAGATAAAAGTTATGGATAGAGTTAAAATTCAACATTTCATCTTCGAAAAAAATAGCTCTTGTATTTTAGCAGTATTCATGTTGTAGTTCACCCCCCCCCCCCTGTGACCAAATTTTTACTATAAATACATCACAAACTGTTTTACTTTTTCAACCAATTGAATAACATTTTTTTGGATCGGAAAATATGACGAATGAGCATCCCAACAACAAAACAAAACAAAATTTTCGTCAGACCATGAAATGCATGTTTGTGCAAATTTTTCAGCCTTCTTCCTGTCTTGAAAACAAAATTTAGGTGCGAATATATAGAAAGAATATCACAGTTTAATGTGCTATAATTTTTTATCATGTTTTATTTACGTGTGTGAAGTATTTTGCGTTTTGCCGAAGTCGTATATTCGTCAGTTGAGATATAGTTGCCAACCTTAGGTATATTCTATATATATGAACAATGCTTTTCATTCAGTGCTTGTGGTGCGCGGCAAATGACAGAAGAATGGGGCTAGCTTAATATAAATTGACATTTGGTGCATTTTACAAGCCATTTTGGGCTGCTATGGTGTAAATAAAGTTTTAATAATAACAGTATAAAATGAACAGGACAAATATTGTTGCGACTTAAAATCTACAGTAAATTTGGAATACGCTGGCATTTTCGATTTAAAACACCAAATTTATTCCCCTTAATTTCCGCGCAGAAATTTTTAAATTCTACACAACTTTTTACAGTCGAAACTTTTTCCAAATTCTCGAGAATGCACGTATACTAATTTCTTGCCATATTGAAAATACTGAAATCTCATACGCGTTCTGTAGCACCTTCAGCTGTGACGTCACACCTAGGTCCCAATCTCATACTACATCGGCGGTTTATTCTCGCGTTTGCTTGAGAACGTCCGGGACAAGGCTGATGGGACACTACAACTTTTGTTGGTAAACAAAAGAGGTGGGTATAATTCAGAGAAGGAATGGGGACTATATTGGCATGCAACGCGTTCTGCAGGCGCGGTTTATTATCGATTCCTCACTCTGCGCCGTCATTGTTTGTCGCTTCGTTTACACTTCGAGAATAAAAGATGTTCAGTATTAAGATTTATATATAGAAAAAAATTGTAATATGGCAAATTTTTGCACTATTCGTGGAAAAAGCCTCGTTTTTGGGAGTACACCATCTTCTTTTTGTTCACTGTGTGTCAAAACAGCCATTACTCTTGATTCCGGAAAAATTGCCGCATGTTGACGTTGAATGCCGTGAGGTTCATGTTTATAGTTTTACGGATAGTTAATTTAATTGACAATCAGAACGTAGACCAATGTTTTTCAAAACCGCGATTACTTGTCGGTTCAGTAGAGCAAAGTCGTGTTATTTTGTTAACGTTAGAATTTTGTTAATCGCTACACAGTGTTTCGCGCTTTCAAAGCGATCTTCAGGCATGCAGTATTGCCTGAAAGCTTTGAAAGCGCGAATCACTGTGTAGCGATTTTGCTCTATCAATTAATATATATATATATATATATATATATATATATATATATATATATATATATATATATATATATATATATATATATATATATATATATATATACATACATACATACATACATACTTTATTGTGTTCCCTAAATAGGGATTTTCAACACTGATTTACAAAAAATAAATGTTGTTCTATTTACAAGTTTTAGAATCTATAATTTAAATTAAGGTAAAAAGGTAAGACATTTGTATAAAGTTTAACAAGGTAAAATTATCTACTTATATATTTGTTCTAGCATGCTTCGCTTCAGTTCGTTTTTGAAAGTTTTTAGGGAGTCTAACTTTTTGAAATTTATGTCCAAATCATTCCAGAGTGTAACGCCTCTATAATGAAAGGACCTTTGACCTGCAGAAGTTTTGTACAATGGTATTTGCAGTGAGTCATGGCTACGTGTATCTCGTTGATGAATGTCAGAACGTTTTGTGAATAAATCGCTCAAATAATGTGGAGCAAGTTCATTGACACATTTGTACATCATAATAGCCTCTCTTAGTAGTAATTGTTCCTTTACTGGGAGCCAGTTAAGTTCGCGTAAGCCCGGCGAAATATGGTCGAACTTTCCAATATTTGTTATTATCCTGCATGCAAAATTTTGTACCAACTGTAGTTTCTTAATGTTGGTAGACGAAGTGTTTGACCAAACCGTTGAACAATAGAACATTTTGTTCATTACAAGTGCCGAGACGATGAGAGTTAAAGCTTCTTTATCGAAACATTTTTTGACTCGGTTTATTTGGCACAGGGAATTCATACATGAGGAAACCAGGTTGGTGATGTGCTGGTCATATGTCAAATAAGAGTCGATTGTCATTCCTAGATCTTTGGCAAAGGAGACGGGGGTAATAGTCTCGTTGAGGAAGTTTATGGTCATATCTACGGGAAGTTGTTGTAGGTTTTGCCGTGTGCCAATCAGCATGTATTTGGTCTTTCCCGGGTTAATAAGCAATTTATTTTCGGAACAACTGTTTGCAATCAAATACAAGTCTTCCTCAAGTTGTTGCTTTAAACAGTCCACGTTAGCCACAGTGAAAGATAGTAATATCTTGGAGTCGTCCACGTACGATTCAAGTTTACTATGGTGGACTGATGAGGGCAGATCGTTAGTATAAATACTAAAAAGTAAAGGTGATAAAATTGCACCCTGTGGTACACCATAAGAAACAGGGAGAGGAGTAGACACAGTTGATCCAATTCTGACTGATTGAGTTCTTCCGGTCAAGTAACTCTCAAACCATTTTACAACGCTTGGGGAAGCCCCGACGTTGCTAAGTTTTGTAAGGAGAAAAGTATGATTTACACTGTCGAAAGCTTTAGATAGATCTATTAGAATCAGTGCAGTAACCAATTTCCCATCCATGGCCTTTAGGATAGTATCTCCGGTCAAAAGATTCAATGTTTCGCATGAGTGATGTTTCTTGTTCCCGCTCTGGTGGGTTGACAATTTTTTGTTCTTCATTAGATACGAACCAAATTGATCCAAGGCGACTTTTTCACAAATTTTCGAAAGAAAGGTAAGGAGAGAAAGTGGGCGGTTATTTGATGCTTCCTCGTGGTTTCCATCCTTTAACAAAGGGATAACTTCTGCCTCTTTCCATGCTATAGGGAACGAAGATGACGACAGTGAACAGTTAATGATACCGGTGAGGGGCCCAAGAATTACCGGTAGGCTGTGTTTGATGACACGCATATACTCACTTTGTCTTTGCCGGGTGATTTGTTTGACGGCATAGCTAATATGATGTTCCTTATTTCTGAACAAGAGACTGGGGTGAAACTAAATCTATCATTTTCTTCAGGGTAGCTGTTATCTGTGCGATTTACGTCAGAAAGATTTCGAGCTGGATAAACACTAGGATCTTGTATTAGTGTTGAGGCTTTCTTTGCTGCATTCACACCGATGGTGGAAAAGAAATGATTAAACTCTTCGGCCACTAATTTCGGTTCCTTACTGTAGACCACTGACTATCTTTCCCTATACGCTATATTTTCTTTAATTACCTTCCAAAGTGACCCAGTATTGTTTCTGTGTTGCTGAACTTCCTTCAGTACATATTCTTTCTGTGCATTAACAAGTGCGGTTTTTGTAAAATTGCGGGCCTCTCTGAAATTAAGCCAATCATAATGATCACGTGTTTTCCTGAAAAGACTGTGGAGCTGGTCTCTTTTGATCATGGATGCTTTTATTTCCGGGGTGATAAATGGGCAAGATTTTCCGCGTACTTTTATGGTCTTTACTGGGGCGTGTTTATCCAATATATTTAAAAATATTTCATTAAAAATGGTTAGTTTTTCATCAACATTGTCCATTCTGAAAATGGAAACAAGACGATCACGGTTGGATGCCAGATCA